AGCTAAAGACCGATGAGATATCATTCCGATGGTACGAAAACGAAAGCTTAACGTTGAGTGGCTCTACAGTTGAAGATTACAAAGTAATCTTGGAAAAAAATAGCGGCAATTACAACAAACAGTGACGAGAGTATTAGTTTTGGCGAAGTCAACTCTACTCCTACGCACATGCCTTCGCTAGAGAATATTAATGAGTTCATGATTAGTTATCTCCCGCTTGGTCCGTATGACTTGAAAGTGTTAGATACTGAGCTACTTGATTCTGGGGTAGATACTGTTGCTGAATCCGGTAACCTAGCGGACATACCCCAGTGCTCAGGCGACCATTCGGAGTCTGGTCTCCTTCTTGATGTTGTAAAGCGTCTGGACGTATTAACCAATCGATTTGAAAAGCATAGATCCGAATCATCTATTGTACTAAATGAACTCATGATTGATTATGAAACTAGGAAAATTTTAGAACTGAAATAAACGCCTAACTGAAGAAAATACTCTTTTGAAAAACCAAAATCAAGCTCTGACTGAAGATCTAGACGGAGTTAAAAGCACTCTAGTGAAATTAACCGCTAAGCTATCAGACATGTAAAACGAGAAAGCCAGCCTTTTGACAGTTGTCGGCTATTAAAAGGCAACCAACCGACTCTAGTAAATAAACCAGTCGACCTTGATCAACAGTGTCAAATTCGACCGTCACAGTCTGGCAGCTGCGAAGATGAAGCAAATTTTAAACATCAAATCGACCTTACGGATAATTGTAGCAATCCCCCCAAGCCTATCACCGACAAGCACCTACAACATCAAAACCGCAATAGCTGTCGTTCCGGCGATAGAGCTGACAGTTTGGACCCTCTTGATCCTGACCATACTTGACTTGCTCGGAGTTCTGTTCCGCATCATAGGCCACAACAACAACAAAACATTATCAGTCAACATCATCATTACAATCAGTCTGCATCTCAGCGACTTGAACCTCTATTTCAAAGATCCGAACGACTGCCCTCCCACCGGAACGATCGTCTCAACAATCTGATCGCTCGCCTCAACGACATAAAATAAGGTTTCTATAATATTTCGTAGAATTATTCATAAATTCATCAAGGGTTCAATCGCCACCATTAGAGTATATCGAAATGCAAGCCTAGCCAAATTTGGATTCCTATGTTCTTTTTAAGGCGTTTTATTAGGCTTATGAAAATGGTATGCTATGATACGATAACACTTGTTTTGGATTCAAAGGGCTTATATGATTTTGGTGTTAATGCCATTGAGATTTATGCATACTCTTTAGCGAATATAATTTATAAAAGCGAATTTCGTCAAGCAAATATCACTGTTTATACCATAGTGAAAATCCATGCAATAAATGATTATGTTGGCAATTATTTAAGGAGAAATCAAACGCATAAATACCTGGAAAGTTTTCTGTTGAATCACTAGTGGACTTGTTGCAATTGAAGTTGGTTGATCAATGATATTTTAGAGAGCGGATGTCATATACTGGAACGAGTTTTTCCTAATTAACATTCATTTTACATACACTTTAAGATAGAAGTGGTAAAAAAGATAATTATACTCCATTTATAGGTTATAGGTCTATATACCTACATAATTTCAATTTTCGCGTCAATCTTACCTATCCCTTATGACGTAACTATATTTCCCATTTAAATTAAGTTTAGAAAATAAAATTGGTGTGTGTAAAAAAATTTTCACACATACGACGTATAATTAAATATTGATCCCGATGTTCTGATATACGTTTTTTGAACTATAACCATACCGTATACCAAATATTTCTTAAAATATTCGTTCAGTTTCGGGTAGCAATATTACCTGAAGGCGTTAGTGTGAATGTAGTCTTGAATAAAAATACTGCGTCATTTTTTCCAAATCCATCACCCCCCGAAGAGATTATAGAATACCAACCGCTCTAAAGACGAAAAAGCACCAGCTGCTGTTTCTTCACATTTTATTTTACACAAAATGTATGATACGCTTTCGCAAAAGAGTTTTCTCATTGAAATACAAACTTTCTGTGTTAACCAATTAAAACATTTTTTTATTACCAGTCTTTACTCGCGCATGCGCAAAACGGTCAAACGTCCACCGTCGACCGTCCACCGACCATGACATAGAATTTCTACGTACAAATTCTAGTATTTTCTGTCAGAATACCTGGGTGTAATTTGCAAACTCCGAGCGGAATTAGAACCCTCGCTCAAGCTTTGCGCCTGGTCGGGGATCACAGTAATATGAACTCATTCAAAATCAGGAGCAGATCCAGGACTTTTCGCACCTTATAAAAATTTTCGTTCGTTAATATTAAGATGAGGACTATTTTTCGCCAAAAACTTCTCCCCCCCCCCCCTTCATCTCTTAGAATTAATTGCACATTGCAAACTGAACTGTTAAAAATATTCATTGAACATGTTAAGTTAAATTTGAATGAAAACGCAAAACGCTGATCAGCAACGAAAATTAAAAACGCTGGTCAGCATGTTTAACAAACAGCAAAATGCCAAAAAGCAGTAGTGTTTTAGTATTCTAGTCCAATTTTTACTAAGAGTCCAAAGAATACTGTTTTTAAAAAATATTTAGAAACGCGAAAGCTGCATTTTTAAGTTTGGCTGCGAAATATTATTCTAAAGTGCCGAAGATATAGCAATGCGAAACTAGTAATTGTTGTATTCTTTTGAATTATGGTGGGAAGAGTGAAACTAAATTATTCACTTTCGCCCGTTATGCAAATGTATACAAAAGTTGCCTACTTCAAATGGCTATATATTTGCAGTACTACATAACATATGACCATGCAAACATGACCGTTATACTAATTTGAGTATATGCTCTTTAGCTGTGTGACTTGATTTATTTCCTTCTTACCACCTTGATAATAAATTATTCTATTCCGCTAGTGGACCATTGTTATTAAAAGATATCAATCAGACAAAAGAAGAATATTACATGAATATTTGCCTCTCACTTAAGATTCTAGCACGGCCCTGACTTCTGAGTCCAACGTATTTTTTTCATATTTCTCATTTGTGCATGCAAATTGAATTATGTATGCGGGTTTTTTCTTTGGCTCATGCATCCCTCGGTTCATGAAAAATATATATAGCCCGCTTTTACGAGCTGCCCAATTATTATTATTTATTAGCTTCCAAGCTATAGTAATCCTTACAAAAGCTTAAAAGATAAATGCAATCAGTCTAATATTACCAGTCGAATCATTCTTCGATTATTTGTCATCTAGCCTTACTGCTTTTATCAAGCGCTAATGCTCCAACAACAAAAAATAATTGATGTTGATTTTGATTAAGATGCTGCGATTCAATCAAACATTTACATTTCATTTGGGCAAATTAAATCCTGTCATCTTTTTCATTTCTTGTGATATTGAATTTGCGTAGCGCAATCATTAAAGTTAATGTGTGTTTAATATTTCGCAACAAGCTCTGCTGAAAGTTTAATTTGAGTTGAAAAGTAATGTATATAGCTATAGTTTCATTTGCCAGTAGATTAATTTGCTTTAAATCATGCAAGCTTCAATTCGTATATTGGTGTCGAGAGAGGGAAAAACAGTCAAATTAAAGTCCAGCAAAGCAATGACTCTATCATTGAGGCAAGAAACTTATGTAGTCACGCGCAACATTTTTGGAACCACCTATTTTGTTACAAGAAACATTCCATCTGACCATTTACTTGCTAGTCATACCTCCCCAGTTGTTTTAATCTCGTGTTAATAATACCGACGGTGATGCTCAACGCCGTAGCTATAATGACGATTTTGAGGTCCTCTCAAATGAACAATAAGATTTGCCATCGAATTACTAGTTGGCGTATTTGGGATACCTCTTTTCTTCAGCTTTCTGATGAGCGGAATCCGCGGAATGGCAGAAAATCTTTGAATCTGATGACAGACTGATAATTTTTCCAATTTCGTTTTCTACATAGTGAGAAAAAAGCAGACTTCTGATATTTGTTTTCTTCGTTTTTTTTTCATGAACTTTGCACGAATATGCTTTTACTCTTGCGTACGTAGCAATTTATACATATTTATGAGTAAGCATATTATATCAATTAACGATGGTTCATTTTGCGATCCTATCCTGTAAAATTTTAAAATTATGTAGTGAAATATTTTTCCGGATTTTTTCACCATGCTATGATCAGGGCTTTTTAAACCTCCTAAATACTGGGTTCTTTTCGATACCGTAACTAGAACGATAATTAGGGGGCTGCTTGATTGTTGAAATTAATAAGGCTATCTCATCATGTATATGTAAATTGTTCGCTAATTCCGACAAATTCTTACTTGAGAAGTCAAACCTGCAATAGCTATGCTCCAAGTTTCTAAGTTATGTTACAGATGTTTTTAAATTGAAAATTCACCTATAACGTTTCAATTAAGGAGGCAACGACTGATTAAATGATTAGCTGAAAACCGTCATTAGTTTCGCAAACACTTTTTCCTCGAACCTATATAAACGTTGGTTACAATAGCAATACGTCAATCCTTGCATGAATGTAGCTACTGTTTCGTATCGAAGTATATAGTAGAAGAACGGGCCCCATGCCCAGTGGTTTCATACAAAAGGGCCCAAGCATAAGTATCAGAAAATAATTAGACTTGTGAAAATTGTTTTGTCTTAAACAAAAAAATGTTATATAAGAAAACCATCACACTTGCACCTGCCTAATAATTCTGTTTTTCCCGAGATTAGGTATAATGTTTCCCACGTATAGGAATTTTTTATAATTGCATTACTAAGTACATTTTTTATTATTCTTGGTCGAAAGAGAAAACGAGAATTGAAAATAAAGCTAATGTGTCTATTGCTCAGGCAGTTGTGATTATACGACCGCAATTGGCAGTTCGTATATAATGAGAGAATGATATATTAAATCAACTTGCCTTACGTATACGCATCGGTGGGTGAACTAGACTGAAAAAAAATCAAGCAATCAACATTCATTCCAAAACCTTTAATGCGCTTATAACAAATGCCAGATTTTACAACAATGCCATATTGAAATCATGCAGAAAATACAAAATTAAGCCAATTTCTAATGATCGTGTATAATGATAACGTTAGACAAATGCTAAACAAATAGCATACAACACCCCTTTAGTATAGCTACAACAAATTACCGAGCAGCAAATTAATAGTGAAAGAGAAAAAGTCAAGTATGAATGTCATTTGCCTCCTTTACCGTTCGGTTTAGAAATGACGGCAATTCTTGATCGTACTGGGATATTAAACAGCTCTTTATGTGTGCCAGGTGTTTGGCCACGTAAATCAAACGAAACTTTCACCCATGGCTGGAAAATGAGGCAATGAGTTGAGCCACCAAAATGAAACATTCCAATTTCATCTCCCTTTTTAATGTAGTCACCTTCTTTCACGGTAATCTCATTAGTGGAGACCTCGGACATCCCAACAGAGACAAAAACCATCAGACCAATATCAGGATTGTCGGCCAGGATATAGATGATACCTCTTGCAGCAACTTGGCAGATGTAACCCTGAGAATCATTGTCTCGAAAGTTGTAAGGTTGGCTGTAGTAAGAACCATCGACCAACTCTGTTTTCACAATTTGACCAGAGACGGGACTGTGCCATCGATGGTAGCTGATTGCACTGAGGAAGGCTTGGTAGAGGGTTCCACCATAAAACTTCTTTGCCATCGCATTATTGTTGAGCAAATGATCTATGTGAATATTAATAGATAAATAATATCCTATAGCTCTCCATTACAAACATGAAGTAAAAGAAATTTTACACTTTTAAGGTAGGTTTGATCATTGGCAAGCCTGATTCTCATAAATTATATGTAATTTACGCAATTAAGCACTGCCGGCTGCCACACCAAATTATAATATCGCACAAAAAAAGAACCAAAGATCTGCAGTCGTGCGTTGATTATGAGCAAGAACATAAGTATTCCTTTGTTTCGAGCTTTTCTTTCTGAAGGAAACAACAAAAGTTGCCCAACGACGATACTCTGATATGCTTACCCAGTGAATAATACTGTTTCTTGACCCAAAACCAGTCTCGTTGTTTGATGTCATGTGCCAGTTTGAAGGGTGCAGACTCACAGGCATTCGCTACGACATTGTCATCATCAGGAGATTCGACTGGCCGTATTCCAGGCCGATACTTCCTAACGAAGAAATCATCCCACGATGTGTAGCCATAGTGTGGTTTAGTAGGATCACATTCAAATTCTTGAACAAAATTTGGCATTGCTTCCATCGCATCTTCACCAAACCAACCTGATTCTTTGTCTTCATTCAAGACATACGTAGACTCATAGCTGGACAAATACTCGCCCCAGTAATTTAAGATGTTCTTGAATAATTTGTTCACCTGATAAGAAAGGTAATGTAATTTATTTAATATAACTTATGCACCAAATATCAAACCTGGGTTTTGCGTCATGAATATTAATTCTGTTTTCGGCATTGTTTTAGGCGATGTTCAAACACATTCAATAATAAATCTTAATTATTTGTTATAAACTAAATAAATGCAAAGACGCATTTTACCAGACTATGTCTGGAAGGTGCAGGAAAAGCCAGGCTGGGCAGGTGTCGTCAGCCTTAGACTAAATTAGGTGCTTGTTAACAAGATAGAGATGTTGCATCAAGCTCAAACTTTAAAATTTGGCGTTGTTTACCTTTTCGTTCAGGAACGCGGCAAAACCAGCCGTAGTTGCCATCGGCCAGTTCAAGATCACGCTGATTGGACAACCAACAAAATCAGTTTTGTTATACTCGGGTGCCTTTCTCATGATCATGTTGATAAGAAGAATCATGATTTGCCAACACCAGATTTTCTTTCCCTCCGAAATATCTGGCAGCGTTCGTTGTTGCCAGAACATTTGATGAAAAAACATGTTTATTTCTAAAATGTTTTAGATAATGCAAGTATGATGATACATGTGGAATGAAATAATTCATTATTGTGAGAATGCCGGTAACGTTTACCACCATAAAATTCGAAAGCAGGAGATGTGATATTTATCATTTATAGACCTGGAGCGAGGGGAATTCGACGATATATTACCCCCAAGGGAAGATATATCCCGAGGGCTTTGCCCGAGGGATATATCTTCCCGAGGGGGTAATATTTCGTCGAATTCCCCGAGCGGAAGGTCTATAAATTGATATTATATCGAAACAACGTGTAGGCAGCGCAAAAGCTGGATGAAATGGCTTCTTTTGCCTCCATTTTGAAATTGTTGACAACCTCGAGTCTTGTGCGAGGCATCCACGCGTGGTACACGCAAACTCGAATACCCCCGCTGCAGCGGGGTATTCGACTTTTATAGCATAATGTGAAAAAATTCGATGGAACTCCATGATTAATTTACTGATCACGTGGTATAAATCGAGCTTTCTGATTGTATGATTTACAGTTGAGATATAATATTTTCCTTTATATGCATGCAGTGGATATCGTCATGCAGTGGAAGAAGATTTCTCGTCTTTTGAAGATTGGAATTTTGGCAGTGAGGCCCTTCGTTTACACTGCAATGTGCAACATGAAGTTGCAATACAACCCATTAACTATGCTGAGTTAGATTTATGCAAAAAAAATTTTTTCGATCACGTGTCTATTGTATTTTGCGCAGATAAACCAATAACAATCTTATAATTAACATCTTTTTCAAGTCCAGGTTGTGGAGGCAGTGGAGCTTTGTAAGACGAATGCGATTAATACGTTTGGATGAGTTTTATTGTACTTTTATTTAGTCTCCCGAAATCGTATAAATTAATATTCTATTAACTGTGGTATGATTCATGAAATGCGCGTGCAGATTATACTAATTTATGCTGTAATTAACTGTACATACTCGAATAGCCCTACAATTATCGCTTGCACGTTGACAACTTGATTGAAATTTCTTGTAATCGAATTAATAATACTATGTTTAACAAGTTCTCTGACGTGGTATGTACATGCAGGCGTTGTTCTAATATTTCCCACGAGCCATAAAAGACTCTGCCATTACGGTCGGGAGAAGAATAAAGACTTGGTAATAACAAAAATCAAGATAGCAACATCAATTTCGGTTTAAATGAAAGCAAAGTCATTGGGCCAGTGTGATTCCTTTGAGGGGCGGAAGCCATTAACCTGGTGCTAAGCCAACAGAAATGAATTGCCTGTGTGCGCACGGCTATAAAATGCCATTGCGCTGTCCCTACGTACCTGGGTCACTAATAATCTGATCTCGAAGTGCAGCAACAGGAGGATGAAGAGCAAATTTGTTGATCGTCTCATTATAGTCGGGTTGGCCGTGAGTGTGCGGATGACATTTCAAGGCTGCATTTTCATCTGAAGCGGGCGGGTGCTCCTTCAAAATCAGGTCTATCTGATCCTTGTGCTTCGTTTCAAGTTCGTTTAGTAACCCAGCAAGCAATTTGTCGCACACCTTTCTATTTGAAAGGAGCTGACCGATACGTTCAGGTTCGCCACTCATGTTTATGCGTACTGCATGCTTCACTGCTTCTACGACAACAAAGTGACAATTATCAACGACGTGCAGATCTTTATACTGTTTACGCATGCTCAGTTCTGTTTCGGTCAGCTAGCAATTTCTCTTTTTTCTTTACGCACGAAATTTGTGTTTGTGTTCGTGTTTGTGTTTGTGTTTGTGATCAAGAAGCCGTCTTTCTTGTTCTTTTGAGTTCAAATTTTACGCAGTTGCAAAAGGCTGGCGACTGATTTGTGAATGATTGTGGTAAAACCCGTCTCTAACAGTCTCAGCAGTCATGACCCGAGCGTTTAATTAGAGGTGTAGTGGTGGTGGATTTGAGTTGCTATATTAGTTTAGAGCTGAATGGGATATTAATTACGAAATTTGTTGAAATTGGGCGGATATTGAACAAATTAGAAAAAAAGGCGCTAATAGGCGATTCTATGCCTTACTGGATATTTCTGGGCGTTTCTGGGCGATATTGGGCGTTCCTAGGCAATATTGGGCGTTCCTAGAAGATTCTGGGCAATATTTAACAAAATAAGTTAATAAAAGATGTCTTGGATGTGATAGCAAATACTGCGTTAGTGAAACACCTTGAATAGTATAATATACCTTGAATAGTATAATAATAGTATCAAAAAGCTGAGTTTACATTTGATATATACTTCAATCCCTAACTATCCATATAAAAAACTTGATCTTGATCCAGGGTTCTAATCCCGCCGAGCGATTTTAATTACGTCCGGGAATGCAAAGCCAAATTTAAGTTGTCCGCCAGTATGTCAAAGTCGTTTTTGTAAGTTACGCGCATGCGTCAGTTTAGGACGAGTTGAAACAACTGACCTTTATTAGATGGACTAAGCGCTCGAGACCTAATGTTTCCCCACTGTTGCTCATGTCATATAGGTCCTCGATGAATATTAAAGCAGTCTGATATTTGTTTCGATTTGTGGGCGGGTTTCCCATTTAGTGAGTTCTTATGCAAATTTGTGGGTTTTTTTGGCGATTTGAATACGAAAGAAAGAAATATACTACTTCAGATATTCGATGAATGCTTTTCAAGATGGAAATACAATGCTTAAAAGGTTTTACCACATCTTAGTGTAAAAATACAAATGAACGGCAAGGACATGTACGTAAACTAATAAATTATTGTAGCCAATATCAATTTAATAAAAATGCTTAAATTTTTTTTAAATTCTTTGCATCATTATAATGTGACCTTCCATCGGAAAACATTCATTAACGATATTTCGTTGAAACGGGAAAACGAACGGATAACGAACGGTTAGAGAACGATCTGTCATAAAGTTTCAACGAATCTAAAAAACATTTTGACGAATTCAGCTAAGAATTAATCTGAACGTTTAAAGTTGAGAATACGAACGGATAAATAAACGTTCAATCAGAAGCGTTCGAACGATTTACGTTTCTGGTTTAAACGGATTAGTCTGAAGGCTTGATGAGCGTGATATGATTGACCCAAATAATCTATTAGCTCTAGCTATACTACCTAAATCACATTATTTATACTTTAAATGCATATATACGTTTGCGTTTTGCGACAAGATTCGGGTTAAGCGTTAGAAAGCCTGCAGCCTCCACAGACAAAATCAATGTATGAGTGATTAAAGCCGTAAAATAGACGTAAACATACATCCGTTTTATTAACAAGACAGTAAACCAGGCCTGGCTGTTAACGAAGATTGGAAAAGATGGCAATGTCATCTATCACCGTCTCAGTTTGGTTGAGTTTCAGCTACTGGATACATATTTGATGATAAAGTGCCAATATCAACCTCAGGGAAATAACCTACCTAGATTGATTAGACGATTTTAAGAACATTTGCAATATATTTGATGACACGAAAATTTGATCTTCATGTACTTTTCGGGCCTCATGTACTAGTTGGCTTTTTTTGTGTTTGACTGTGAGGTGCTGTGAGTGGGAACTAGTTTCTCTTTTTCACCGGAAGTGACGTACATTGGAGAACACGCTAATTTTGTAAACAAGAAACACGCTTTAAAATATAGAAATATTGCAGCAATAAGGTGCGAAATCTTGTTCGTTTTTCGCTAAAATGACGTTGTCAAGTTTTTCCGACAACTTAGACAGCCAACTTGATTCGAATGTTTAATTCATCCCGGATTATGTATTGCCAATATTCGAAGTTGAAGACGATGCGATACTGCTGCTTCAAGAGACAGTACGCCTACACATGACGGATTATATCAACCTTACCAATACAAACAAATTGCTGACCGTGTCGAGTATAATGAAGACTGAAGCTAGCGCGGCGAAATGAACGAATACGAAATGGAGCCGACATTGCAGCTTTAGCTTTACGAAGAAAATATGGCGATGGTGCATGCAATCAACAAAATGATAAGTTTGAAATTTTATGCTTTGAGATTTCATAGCCCTAGCCGTTTTAATAACGATAATCTGTCTCATGGAAACATTTCTTCGCACGGACAGTGGTTTTATTGCAACCTGTCAACATGTATTAACTATAATCGTATTTCAATTAACAACTTATAAAATTAATGTGCTGAAATTTTCCATATTATTTTGAAATATGTAGTTTGTAGTGCCTCGCGCGGGCTGTTTGTAAAATGGATTCCTTGGCGGCTTGGCCTGGAAATTTGTATCTCTCCTCTTTTATGTAAATGTCCTAATGATTTTATTATATAGTTCAGGTTTAAATTTTTATCCACTTAAGATGAATACACTATAGCACAACGGAGGTTCTCATGCCACAAAATCAAGTGGATTAGGTCAATGATTAGGTCTATATATATGTATATATATGAAGAAAATTTTGTGAATTGAAAGTCTAAATAAATTTGAAAAATGCATTAGTTTTATTCATGCCAGATACAGTCTTTTTTATAAAACTTATATTGTGTACAATATATAATATCAGGCCTGATAATATGTAACACACGCAAAATTCCTCAATTCATTTTAACATCGGGTTTTGTCTGTTTTCATACATTTAGAGACATCCGACAATTATGCAATTTAATTAGCACCCTCCCAAGGCATATGGCTCGTAATGCTCAATATAATTATATATAGCTTGCGACCTTGTTTGTGCGCGTGGTGAACTTTGGCATTCTGGAAGCTATAGAAGTATTAAAGTACCGATTGTAATCATTGCATTACCGGCATTTAAAAAACGATAAATTTTTAAAACAAAGCATTTTGAGTTTTTGACGTGAAATTTGACGTTAATGAAGTAGTAGCATGCATGCACTGAATAATAATATAATCTTTCATGTCTGCATGACGTTCAGACGAAATCATGAAGCGCACAAAATAGCATTCGATTCGGCTAAAATTATATAACCCCATTACAAGCCTACTATTCTAGGATTATTTCTGTGTAACACATTCTGCGCTCCTTCTATAAAGTTGTAACATTGCAAATGTTTAATCTAATGTTGAGCCAAGTCCAATGCGATTGAACGAAATTCCGACAAACGTTTCAACGAACCGGTAAATCAAATGTGTTTCCAATTGGGCGAAATCAGACACAATCCAGTGGAGATTTTTACTGCGTAGCGCACTGCGCGAACGCAGTCTTAAATTGCCGTCAGTGTTTTTTTTTGTGTGTTTTTTTACGTTTTCGACCCGGTCTTCCTGGCCGCGCAGGCCAACTAAGATACTCGTATTTTGAACTCGTTTGATTTCGTATCGAAATATATCGTGCTAAACACACTTCAAATAGTAATCTAAGCCTAACAACCCCTACAAAAGAAATAAAAATTGAAAAAGTTTGTTGTCGCCGGGATTCGAACTCGGGTCGTGCGAACCAAAAGCAGGAAACTGCATGCACGATACACGTCATATAAAATAATACGTACACGAGTCGCTGTGCATGGCCGATAGCGCAGGAAATCTAGACGTTTGTTGTTCCAGAAAATACGTACAGGTAATCATAATGCTGGATACTCGTCTTGTCTTGTTTGATATGCTCACTCTGCATACACTAGCACACACTGATCATGGTAAACCTACACTAAAACGGGTTTACAGACAACGATCACATGAATCATGAAAGCCTTGTATGCCATGAAAGCCTTGTATGCTTTGAAAGCCTTAAATGCCATTCTATGCTATTTCTCAATCAAAGCACACCTTCCTTTCAAGGGTAAAAACGGCCAGACCGATCCTATTGAATTTCAGTACAAACTGATTCCCAGAGTACATGATTCCAAACTCAGCCTTATTCACGTATATCGTTAGCTACATATGCCTAGCACCAAAAATGCAGTTTTACCCCTATATTCTGTACGAAGTGCTATATTTACTAGAAACCCTAAGAAAGAAACATTTTTCTAAAGGAATAAATATTCACAGGAAATGGGACACAATTGCATGCAACGATTGGCGCGACGCAGTAACCGCCAGAAATTGGCGTCATGTTCGTAATAGATTATAAATTCTAAATTGATTGGATTCTGATTAGATTACAGCATAGGCGGCCCAAAATTAGCGCCCGAAAAATTTTTCGGCAATTTGTCAATGTAATGTATAATATATAATTACATAAGGTAGGAAGCTCTTTTTTACGTTACGAAACTTACCACTTAGACAATGACAAAATACATCAACTAAATTGACCGAAACTGATAAAAAAAATATAGTAAACTAATCTCTGATAATTTTCCTCGCTTCTTACATGCGAATTACGATTTAAAACTACTTTTAACATGACAAAATACGGCAGTATTTTTATAGTTTTTGATTAGAAATATTTCGTACGATGCGGGATGACAGTGGTCTCTGTATTCGTCATTGTTTTGAAATATTTTACATCATCCTATTGGTTGAAAAAAGTTCGTTCAAAAAGGTCGTTTTCTCAACCAATAGGATCATGTAAAATATTTCAAAACAATGACGAATACAGAGACCACTGTCATCCCGCATCGTACGAAATATTTTTGATCAAAAACTATAAAAATATTAATTTAATTGATGTATTTTGTTATAGTCTAAGTGGTAAGTTTCGTAACGTAAAAAAGAGCTTCCTACCTTATGTAATTATATATTATACATTGACAAATTGCCGAAAAAGTTTTCGCCGCCAATTTTGGGCCGCCTATGATTACAGCTAAACTATTATACAAACGTAATCACAACTTACAGTACCTGAGGAGTGGATCTCCACTGATTATCAAACTCACAAATTTTACTCTCTCGCACGCTTGTCTCACAATAAATCCGATATTCTTATGTTCTCTTATTACACTAACAACTGCGAAATGATTAAAGGGGAAGTCATTGCTCAGGACAACTTAGGCTCAGATGAAAGATAATATCATTCTTACTTTATATACGAAATTTTAAATCGCAAGGTTAAATAGAATTCGAGATATAAAGCAATAAAAACGCAACTTTTGCAATATTTGCCGCAGAAATTAAATACACGCGAGCGAGCCTGCGATCTAGCAGCGGATTTACTCCGTGACGTCACTGCGCGGTTGAAAACATAACCAAGAGTCTACGCCAAGTTGCTTCTATTGAAAAAGCTTTACAAAAGAATAAATGGATATTTCAAAAAGATTTTCAAGCGAAAACTCATTAAGTTCTGGTTCAGAAGACAGCAGGGACGAGTACTAAGTTGAAGACCATGAAGGAATAATTCAACCGTACGCATTTGAGCCCGTTGAAGAAACAGATTCGGAGTCAGACAGCATGGCTATTGATGATGAATGATCACATCGGATCTGGAAATGTAACAAACAGACTCGCGGATATTGACAAAGACTGGTAATTTTACTCTATATTTAAAAATACCGTAGGAATCGTAGTGGTAAATTATAATTATGAGTTGATAATTTACAATATGTTGGCGTTTTTAATATATACTATAAATACAATCATGAACCGTCATTTTGTTTGTTCCAATATAATACTGTTTGTCGTATATTTAGAACGTTTAAATACACCCAAATTACCATAAAATAATGAAACCGCTCAAAAAATTTATTGTGGCTTTCAGGTGTCTTTGTAGTAACTGCCGGATTATGGACAGAGAAGAGGAATGTGTTTGCTGCCAAGATGTCTCAGTGTGCGTTGGAAAATATGAAGAAGTGGCGCAGTTTGAAAATATACCCAGCTTGTATCACTGATAACTCAGGATTCCAGGCTGTGTGCCTCAATTGATGGGTGCTACAGACTGCTGAAATCACTGAAACAACAATATGGCACAAGTGCCTATGAGAGACCAGAACACAAAAAACATAGACATGTTGCCTACAGGCAGCTTGTTCGGTGGTGTTTTGGGATAATAGGTAAAGAAATAAGGGTTCCTCTTTCTTCTTGTGCAGTAAGCTGCATTAGAGCACATTTCCCACCACCAGGGTTGGAAGATGATATGGTTTTTGAAGGTTTTAGACATGCAGGTGAATAATATGGTAAGTTGTTGAGTTTTTATTCAGCTGGCTTTTTATTCAGATTGTGCCATAATCATAACCAGCAGGCTGTGAATAGAGCTTATGGTAGGTATCTACCTAAACTGTTTATGGTAGCTATCTGCCTCAAGTTTTTCCCATACGTGATCTATGCGCTGCAATAACATCATCTTTGTCGGGCCTTGGAGTTGGTGCAATGTTCTTTGGAATGATGCTATAGGTGTTTTTTCCGTCAGGTCTTGCTGAAATAACATCACATCATCCATCAAGTGCTGAATGAAATTAAATGCCTTATTTTCCAACACTGGTTTTGCGACCCAATTCTTGCGACCTTTAGGAAATGTGATCTTATATTACTTCTCACCCTTGTTTTTCCCTTGTTTAACAGTTGCATGGTTTCTTCCAGTATAACTATTGGAGTTATGGTCAATTACCGCCAACTGTGTTTTACCATTCCTGGATATGAAAAGTGGGTGCGTTTTGAAACATACTTCAGCAGCAAGGAGTGGTATACTTCCAGCTTACCTGTATGGTGAAACTCAGTAAGTTTGGCAATATCCTTTAATAGTTTTTTTGTTTGATACCACCTCTTCCAGGGCTATGTGTGGGGCAGATCCAGCCTGCAACCATTTGGTTTTACGTTCCTTGTTTCTAGATAAGCGCCCATGTACACATTTACGAAAGTGCTTGCAATTTCTCTATCTGTGCTTATTTACAACTTGGTACAAGATTGACACCCATTTCTCATGAAGTACTTCAGCATCACCAGCACAAGTCTGTGCACACCACCACAGATGATTGGACACTGACTGAATTCATTTCAGTAAGATCTCATTCCCTTCTTTTTTGCTTTTTTTGTTAATTTTTTTATCACCCATTTTGAAAGATGCCAAACATCATATTGGTGAACTATTTGCGGGTATTTTTTTCTCATCTCTGCTGTAATCTGTGTGTGCCGATCTGTTGTCAAAGATCTGATTTTAATGTCTTGGCCAGTTATTTTGTTTATGGATCTTTGACACCCTTCATTCTCCATTGCATTATAGAGAATGAAACTTCAGAGACTTAATTTGAACAAGTGAGAAATCAACCGGAACCATACAATATGGCATTTTTTATAGAAATCGCTTGCAAAATGTTGCTGTATTTTATAGCTTTGTATATATTTGAATATGAAGCGCTCCCGCGAAACCGCGCAGTGACGTCGCGGGGTAAATCCGCTGCTAGATCGCAGGTTCGCTCGCATGTATTTAATTTCTGCGGCAAATATCGCAAAAGTTGCGTTTTTATTGCTTTATAATTATCTCGAATTCTATTTAACCTTGCGATTTAAAACTTCGTATGTAAAGTAAGAATGATATTATCTTTCATCTGAGCCTAAGTTGTCCTGAGCAATGACTTCCCCTTGCATATCAGCATATGTGGTCGTATGCTCACAAAATATATAACTTATATATATGGAAAAGTATGGGGACATAAATAGCGACATTGCAGCTTTAGCTTTGCGAAGAAAATATGGCAATGGTGCATGCAATCAACAAAATGATCAGTTTAAAATTTTATGCCGTGAGATTTCCTAGCCCTAGCCGTTATATAGCGATTATATATCTCATGGAAACATTTCTTCGCACGGACGGTTGCTTTATCGCAACCTGTCAAGATGTATTATAAACGGATTTCAAATTAAGTATAAGCCAGGGTATAAGCGTTGTTCTTGCACTAGGTGTCCGCGACCTAAGTTTGCAAGGCATCATTTTATTTTAACCGCAGTGCAGCGCATAGACAATTAAATTTAAACCAAATTTGAAAATATTATTAAGGTATATAATGCCCTTTAGCTTGACCGCGGCTGTATCCGAAAATAATGTGTGCACTAGGTGAATATCCCCTCAAATATCCGAGCTTACATTTTATTAAATATCTTATTTAAATATTACTGCGGAATACATTACTTGGATTGAAATTAAATGTGGATTTTCACGAGTATATAAATATAGGGGTGTGATTGCGTGTGGATATCTGAAATACTTGAAACTTTAATAAACACTTGAACGCATCCCTGCCAAATGAAACAAACATCGAAACAAACTTGTAGTATTTACATCAAATTAGTTTTGACAGCATGAAAACACGTTTCGACGCTGGTTCGCTGCGTCCGCGTGTAAACGAACTTTGCCTATGGCGATGGGATATTTTGTATTAATGTCTGGTTATCATCTGTTAACAATTTCATCCTTGGCCTGATTAATTTAATTGTTTGCGCGTCAAAGAGTATAAGCAAATGTGTGTACAATGGAATCTCTTGTGCTTAGTTTAACATAAAATTTGTATCCTGTAGCTGAAACTCAACCAAACTGAGACGATGGCCGATTACATTGCCTATGATATTATCATTGAAGGCAGGCCATTTATGTCAATCTTTGTTTACAGCAAGGCCTGGTTTACTGTCATGTTAATAAAACGGGTGCAAGTTTACGTCTATGAATATAATCATTCATACATTGACTTTGCCTGTGGAGGCTGAAGGCTTTCATTTCTAACGCTTATAACCCGAGTCTTGCCGCAAAACGCAAATGTATATATGCATATAAAATATATAATAGAGCTATATATAATATAGTTGATACTAAATAGAGTAGTATATAGAGCTAGTAATCTATTTTGCGTCATGGCATATCACGCGTATTAAGCCTTCAGACTAATTCGTTAAAACCGTTGATAAGGTAATTAAATCGTTCAAACGCTTCGGATTGAGCGATTATTTATCCGTTCGTATTCTCGACTTAAAACGTTCAGATTTTTAACTAAATTGGTCAAAACGTTTTTTAGATTCCTTGAAACGTTAAGACTGATCGTTCTTTCTCGTTTTGCCGTTTCAACGAAATACCGTGGAAGGTCACATATTTGTAGCAATTATACTCACTACAATAATAAATGTTACCATAAATATCATATCAGAATATGCATAGCTATTACCTTGCGATCTTTCAAGTAACACAATTAATGAACTTCGTATTGCTTTAACTATCTTTACCAAACAAAAAGGAACAGCCAGCAAAACCGTGCGTGCAGTATAATCGCAACTAGCCTCCTCCGCAGGCATCTCTTATTTATTTACATTAGGCATGTATATTTGACTTGGGTTAGCTGTGTCAGGGAAGCCGAGGAGAAAAAAGTGGGAGAGATGCCTGCCATAAATCGACAAAACAAATTGCACTGCGCGCACCAGCTCGCGAATGCTAATTTAAGAAAAAAATGACACAATCGTACTGTGTATAGGCGGTAGTGGAGGGAATTTTGCAACAAATTTACGTAACATTTTCTGGTTTATTAATGAACGAATAAAAGTGTTTTGTAATTGTAACATGATAATCTGTGAAGTGTATAGTCTGATACTTTTGATATGAAAATCTTGCAGCATTAAACATACAGCGTTCTCGGGATCATGGCTTGCCAAGATATAATTCATTTAGGGTTTTGTACGTGGACTCAGAAGCGCATATGATTTTAACAAGACCAAGAATGATATAAAAGATCCAGAGAACAGACGTATTTTAAGTGATCTTTACGACGATAACCCCGATTTAGTTGAATTGTGGGTAGCAGGAATAGCAGAGACCCCGGTGAAAGATTCAGTTGTTGGTCAAACATTTCGTCATCTTGTGGGAAAGCAGTTTGAGAAATTGAGAGATGGTGATCGTTACTTTTACGAGAACTTTGAAGGAGGAATATTTACACAAAGCCAGGTTGAAGAATTTGAAAAATCCAGCATGTCTCGTATTTATTGCGACAATGCTAAAATGTCAATGTTATCAAATTAAAAACATGCAGCATATGGTTGGCGTTACAAAACCAGCTGATCTGACATCATAGTGTCTCTTAAACTTATAGTACATATCGACAAAAATTTAAATTACAAAAAAATAAAGGTGTTTTTCAAGTGAAGTCGTAATGTCATAATGAAAATATGAAATGCAGAGAATGATAATTCAGTTCAGTTCAGCGTTCAGCATTGCCAAATGGAAAAGTGAGATTTGTTGACCTTCTAAGATAAAATAATTATAATAGATTAAAATGTAATATCCATCAACCGACTACACGCTATGGCTGATAATGAACGATTTACGATATCGATCTGTTTTACAAGCAGGAGTATTAAAAGTCTCGTGTTTCTTAAGTATCTATCATGCTTTGACATAGGTGGCAAGAGTTCTACAAGTTAATGATCTTTGTTTTTTATAATATCCTTGAACAACTTAGTGGACAAGTTGGTATACAATGTTGGTATACCAGCCACTGACAATGCCTCTCTATACTTCAAATCAGGGAAGACCATTCGCATAGCACGTTTCTGGATATGTTCAATTTCTTCCGATAGATATTTGGGAAGGCTACGATGGAATAGTTGGCATGAATATTCCAAAGTTGACCTAATTGCCGTACAATAAAATAGGACAAGATCTTTGGAATGAATTCCCGCTCTTTTTAGCTGCTTCAGAAGGTATAATCGTTTAGACGCCTTTATCGTTATTGCTGCAACGTGGTCATTCCATTTAAGGTCTTCTCGTATCGTCATGCCAAGAAGATTGGCTGAAGAGACTCTCTCAAAATTTAGTCCGTCTAGTTCTAGTGGGTCATACGACGACGGTGATCTCTTAAAGCATGACAGGATTTCTTTGCATTTTGGTGGATTAAGCTGAAGACGATTATTCTGAGACCAGTTGTTAATGTGGTCAATGGCTTCTTGCAGGTGACTTGAGTTTGACGGTGAAATAAATTCGGAAACCGTTGTATCATCAGCAAATTTCCACATAGGGAGTGAATCTCCAGGTAGTTTGAGGTCATTGATCATCACCAAGAACAACCACGGACCAAGTCGTGTACCTTAGGCCACTCCCGCAGGGACATTAATCCAGTTCGAGTAACAGTTCCCATTTAGCTTAACCCGTTGTTGCCTGTCTCTTAGAAAATCGATAATCCAATTTACAGTGTTTGGCTCAACCCCAAGACTAAACAACTTCGAAATCAGTATATGGTGATCCACCAAGTCAAAAGCTTTTCAAAAGCCTATAGAGGTGCAGCTCTTATAGTTGTACCGGTACCATGTGTAGAGCGAAGCCAGTGATGAAACATGGAAATTAGCGCAAAGGTTGTTGAAGAGCCTGGTATAAAACCATACTGACATGGATCAAGAGAAGACAATACTACGGGCTTCAGAGATCTTTCGATTACAAAACCTTCGGCAATTTTGGACACGGTTGATGTTAGCGAGATCGGCCTTAGATCTTTATTGTAGTTGTTGATGGTAGGAGCTTTGGGTAACGGTATAATATCAGCGAGTTTCCACACTCGAGGAACTCGACATTCGGAGAAGGAGGTGTTAAGGATATCTGCAACTGGTTCTGCCAAAATATCAGCAAATTCTCTAAGTACCCAGTTAGGTAGATCGTCAGGACCACCAGCACGGTAGATATTAACCGTTTGAAGTTTTTTTGCTACAGTTAGTTCGGTGACGAATATTGGCTCGTCGTTTTCGATTAACACTTGTTCGTTATCTGTCAAAGGTTCATAATCTTTCACGTTAATAAATGTTTCGTTAATATTCTCAGCCAGAACCGCCTCTTCGCATATAAGGTCAGGATATAAACGCGATTTTATGTCCTTCTTAGTCGACTTGGCAGTTCCACAGAGCTGTTTAACATCTCGCCACCAGTCACAGGGTTTAGAATCGCGCAGATCTTTTACCTTGTTTTCGTAATACACTTTGCGACAGCGTTTCCGCTCACGGTTAACTTTATTTCTCAGAATTCTGAATAGAGGTTCGTTTCTGGAACTAAAGGCCTTTTGTCTACGCGCGATAAGATCCTTCAGTCGATTTGTCAACCAGGGCCGATCAGTTTCGTGAATTCCAACAAATCCTTCGGGCATAATTATGTTTAACCCATAATTGACAATTTCTGTCAGGATTTGTAATTTCTCTTCACTTGATTGATAAGACGAGAGCAGAGTAGACCAAGGTATTTGAAGTAAAAATCGGCCAACACTTGCTTTTTTGCGAGGTCGTTTATCTCTTGTTTGGATAATCTTGCGCTTCGGTTTGGTTTGTTTATCTCGGATCTTAGCAGTCATATGTACCGTCACATGATCTGACTGACCAAAAGGGTGTAAGCTGCTAGATGTAGAATAGTACTCGGATACGCTGGTAAAAATCTGGTCCAAAGTATTTGCACCCCTAGTTGGAAAGTTGATCATGGGTTTGAGCTGAAAGGTTTTAACAGTTGTTCGAAGTATGGGCAAGAGAGATTTATTGAAGTCGCCTGCTAGTATTATTGCGCAATTCGGATATTTTGATTCAACTGTTTCTAGTGATGAAATGATATATTCTTTCATTGTAGCATCATGGGCATCAGGGGGGTGATAAACCACACCAACTATAACATTTGAAAAACCGCGTGGAAGACGCTTTGGTGTAAGGTCCATCCAGAGAACTTCGTGATCGACATTGTAAAGCTCTGAAAGAACTTTACATTTAATAGAAGTTTTGACGTATATACACACGCCCCCGTGGAGCCTATTTACACGATCTCGTCTGTAGAGTTGGTATCCATTTATATTAATTGGGTCGTCCGGTACAGATTCACTTAGCCAGGTTTCTGTGAAAATACCAATATCTGGTTCAATAATGTTAATAGTATGAGCAATTTCGTCAATCTTGGGCATCAACGACATAGTATTTAATAAAAGAATTGAAGGGACAAAGTGCCAGCTCTCATGCAACTCAGTCACGCTATTGATCTTGCTTCTTGTTATTGTCGGACATGTCTGAATATTTAATAGGTTCCCATAGTTGACTGAAGAAGATTGTATTTTTCTAGCCCTCGTTAACTATTGCTTTGTCTCCGGTTACAATTGGTCACAGGTATTTGATTTGTTCTAATATCTGTCTCTTGCAGCTTAACACCGCCACCCTTCCCTTTAGTTGATCTTAGAATACCAGCCTTCTTACACGCGTTCCAGTCAGTAGACAGCAAAGGCTTGATATTTTGTGAATTTTTCCACCAGTACATCATAGATAGCAACATAGAACGACTGTATGTCATTGCCATAACGTTTGTCGATAAATATTAGACTTAAGATATTAAAAAACTCTCAATATACAAGAACAAGTATTAACATTTGAAGAGCTCAATATGAAGCAGCCATTACGGCGCATATCACTTATAATTATTATGGACATAATTATATCACTTAATATGTACATAACCTACAATTTAATTTTTTTGGGTAGCCTGCGCATGCGCGGCTAACCACTATGTAGTCGAAAAAGTGTCCGGATGTGTGTGTGTGTGTGTTTGTGTGTGGGTGCCACATCTTCGGTAATCGTCAGATATACGAAAAATGACGAACGGTACGTTCGTTCTTACTATTGCCTATGATGGTTCTTCTAGAGTTCTTCTACTTCCGGAAAATTTCGTTGTTTTTGAAGAACGGAGGCAACCGAAGTCGCGTTAATACGTCTGTCAAATTTTAAAGCGAATGTGAGTACTTTAAAGACGAAAAAGCGGTGATCGGTGAGCGTTCAATCTACAACTACAAAGTTACACTAATAGAAAATAAATAAAACACCATCTTATTCGGCAAATATTAGTAACAAGTTGCCCTGTTTTATGAATTATAATGCAATATTTTACCGGTCAATTTCTTGGTTGTGGACATGCAGCTATCAAATCAAATACATTACCTTATTGCAAATGGTAGTAACAAGTTGTCCTGTTTTGTAAATTAAAATTTGGCAAATGGTAGTAACAAGCTGACCTGTTTTATAAGTTATAATGCAATATTTCACTTGTCAATTTCTTACTTGTAGACATGCAGCTATTAAAGAAAATACATTAGCAACAAGTTGCCCTATTTTATAAATTATAATTCGGCAAATTCTGGTAAAAAGTTTGCCCTTTTTTATAAATTATAATGCAATATTTCTCCTGTCAATTTCTTGCTTGTGGACATGCAGCTATTAAACCAAATACATTACCTTATTGCAAATGGTAGTAACAAGTTGCCTTGTTTTATAAATTATAATTTGACAAATGGTAGTAACAAGTTGCCCTGTTTTATAAATGATAACGCAATATTTCACCTGTCAATTTCTTGCTTGTGGACATGCAGCTATTAAACCAAATACATTATACCTTATTGCAAATGCTAGTAAAAAGTTGCTCTGTTTTATAAATGAGTTATAATTTGGCAAATGGTAGTAACAAGTTGCCCTGTTTTATAGATTATAATGCAATATTTCACCAGTCAATTTCTTGCTTGTGAACATGCAGCTATTAAACCAAATTTATGCTTTCAAGTTTAAAAAGAAGCTTTTATTTGAACATAACTAGCAAAACTTATTCTTTAAAAAACAAAACTTTTAACACAAGTGTATTTCAATTGAACCAAAATCTTTAAAATATTGTTCAGATACATAGATGAGTCCTTTAAAATTGTCCTGAAATGTTTGAAACAATTTTGGACTCTTTGTTAAATTTGACTGTAAAATTATCTGGCAAATCAAGTAGTTTATACTCAATGAAATCCTTGTTAAGATCTTTCTCCTTCTAAACTAAGCTTTATGTTATCAGACGATGTGTGCCACCATCCCGGAACCTTATTCTCTTTTTTGTTTTGTTCACCTATTCAGCTTTAAAAAATTTTATTTCCTATCTCTTGTAAAAATGCTTTTATATATGTTTTGATCTGTCGTAAAATATATTCAATACAATAAAATATTATAATATATAGATTGTGTAATAAGTCGACTTCGTTATAACTGTTCTCAACCAGCTAACTCTATAGGGCTTTATTCCGTTGTCTATGGCATTAGAACATAAGACTAGAAAAAAATATTTAATTGCATCAGTTGATATTTACTTGCCACTATAGCAGCTTTATCGCAGTTAATAATGTTTTACAGGCTACCCGCATGTACGCATTGCGTACCTATTTTTTTTCAATATAATAACTTTGCCAATGTAACAACAATAAATTGACACGGGAGCCGCAACAGCTAGTTGCCAATTACCGCGGACCAATTAATTACTTAACACAATAACAAAGCACAACATGGCAGATATATAACAAAGAAACCAAGTTAATATAACACCAGACCAAGAGTGTATAAGATCAAGTAATAATATGAAAACTTGAGTGAAATAGAAATTCACATCGAATATATAGTAAAGGTTAATTAACAATTATTGGATGAGGTTGAGTGTGATATCGAGAATTATCAAGCCGAAGTTTGCGTTATTTGCCGAAGCGAAGCTGAGGCGGATAATGCAAACTGAGGCTTGATAATTCTCGATATCATGCGAAAACCGAATTCAATAATTGTTTTATTATGTATTTCCTTTTTAGAGAGGAAGCCTGCGCCATTATTGACAACAAGCTAGCGGCAAAAAATTACGTCACCTACGCATAATTTTCAATGTCTTGTAGGTGGCAAGACATTGAGAATTATCTGCAGGTTTTTAGCCAATCACAATCGAGATTGCATTAGTAATGCATAATAATAGACTTTATCAACTCTCATTCTCGTATTATCTAACAACAGCAGGATATTGCACACGCAAGACTGCGCGCCAAGTTACATTTTAAACATATCGTTTTGAATGTTCGAGGATTTTCAGAGTCATAATTCACTGCTAAAGATTCATAATGATATTTTAGCAATAACTGTTTGAAATAACTGCAACTGTCCGTATCAAAATCAAACTCATCCACGAGTGCGTCCCATATGCGGCATGATCTGATAAGAAATGACTGAATTTGAATTGAATTGAATTTATTAATAATCTGGATAGCAGCTTTCAAAAGCTGAAGTATACAGAATTATTTACAGTAAGAATACCCAATATACAAATACACAGTAAAAAAATTAAATTTACGACTATACTAGGGAAATTATTTTTAAAAAATTCTAAAAACTACTTTAATGAGTCATTATAAGCCACGATACTAGAAGGTAAAAACGAGTTTCTAAAACGACTAGTTTTACAGTCAATTAGGTTGACATGGTGTTCATTACGAATAGAATATTTAACTGAGTTCATGCGTCTATCTGGAACGAGATCGTGCAACTTATGTTCAGGATGAAGAAGTTTTTTGAAATATGACATACATATATCATTTCTTCTTTGGCTAAGTGATTGAATTCCTTTGTACTCTAAAACTTCGCGGTATAACAAATCTGGAAATATTAGTTTCTTTCGTTTTTAGATTCTTTCTATCTCCTCTTTTAAGTAATCTGGGGCGCCAAAGTTCCACACTTGACACGAGTATTCAAGAACGGGTCTTATGCATGTAAAAAACACTTGAATTAAGGAGGATTCGCTCACTCCGCTTCGTTTAAGTACGCGGAGAAAGTAAAGTCTCTTTGATGCCTTGGCCACGACATATTCAATATGTAAATTCCAATGAAGATATGATGACAGGAGAAGACCAAGGACTTTTGCCGATGTAACCCGGGATATACATGGAACCCGGGATGTTCTCCAATCAACAGCGGCGGGAGATCCGGGGTCCCTTCACTAAACGAGATTATCAACTCTTTACATTTGTTATGATCAAGTACTATGTCGTTCTCAATACACCATTTCTCTATATCATCAATGACCATTTGTAGATGGCTTTCTTTACCTTTCTTAATTGTTTCTGAAAGGCTGGTATCGTCGACATATTTCCATCAGTTTTTATGAGTAATTGCTAAGTCATTGACTATGATAAGAAAAAGGAGCGGACCAAGTATTGTACCTTGCGGTACACCACCATTTACTAATTTCCAATCAGATAAGATCGGACCCAACTTTACTCTCTGTTTCCTCTGCATAAGAAAGTCAATGACCCAGTTTAGTATAGAGTCGTCTATCCCAAGTAATCCCATTTTCTTTATAAGGATTTGATTGTTAATTTTATCAAATGCCTTACTGAAGTCTAATCAGTGGCGTAGCCAGCCTGACGATTTAGTCATGCTATGCAAATTTTATGTTATTATCATTATTCATTTCTTTAGAAATTCATTGTTTTCACAGTCAATGAACACCAAAATATTAGCATAGCATGACTAAATTAAGTTGTCGGGCTGGCTACGCCACTGAGTCTAATAGAAAAACCCGTATCGTTTCCCCACCACAATCTGTATCTGAGAACCAGCAATGAAACATACTAATTAACGAATCCACGGTAGAGCATCCTTTTAATGAGCCAAATTGTCTTTGGTCCAATATTGGACGGATAGCATGCATAAACCTTTGAAATTGAAACGATTCCAGTGTTTTAGATAGAGTAGCAGTTAATGAAATAGGTCGAAGGTCTGTAGATATGTTTGTTACTGGTGTTGACTTTGGAGCTGGGATGACATTTGCTCGTTTCCACTGCATTGGAACTTGTGCCTGTTTAATAGATGTATTAAACATAATTGACACAGGTTCAGAGAGTTCCATAGAAAACGAGTTTAGTAACCAGTTCGGCAGGCTGTCTGGGCAGGCCGTCTTGGTAGGTTGTGGTCTTAATTACATCTAGGAACATCATATTTAGAAACAAGTAAAAGGAAGTCAACGCTTGCAGTGAACTTGAAAGACAACATTAAAATTGTAACTGATAAAAAATTTTTGAAAAAATGTTTAGAAAAAGATGATAATAAAATAGTGTGGTAAGATGTGTATGAAATAATTCTTAAAGAGAACTTTGACGTTTTAAGCATGCCGGAAAGGTGGACTCAACATACAATAAAAACTTTAAGAGTCGTCAGATAAAAAATTAGGGAAACCATTTGCGGCTCATTGAGAAGTTTTTGATATCAAACGGCATACAGTACAAACCTATAACACTCCGGTTGCGGCTCGGTTGCGTTTCGGTTCCAGTTCCGGTCGCTTCCGGACGGAATGTTATGAACTGCTCAGAACGACAACACAATAATCAAATCGAAAACATCTTAATTAAGAAATGTCTCTCACACCAAGGTTCGACCGAGGTTAACCGGGGTTTTTGTTAGGTTCTTTCTGGGGACAGTATATCTAGTCAGCACTGTATATGCATCACATACTGGCTTGTTTATGTCCATAATCAAAATTGAGTCTTAAAGTTTGAAACATTTTCTCTATCAGCAATTGTGAAGACGCCCCTTGTCCAATTTTCACCAATCCCCGATATTTATATGCCATTTAGATAAAGGATTAGCGCTAAGACCTAATTGTTCGTATCAATCAAGCTGAAAACTGAATGATTATCGTGTAAACCAATATTTAGGAGGACCGTAAAGTTAAATTGAAGTTAAGAGTTGGATTGTTAAATTGTAAGGTTGCTCATGATCAATGTCACTGGCACGTCTCGCGGTACTTTTGGAGCAAAAAATGTTTACTTTTAAATAACACTAAGACACTTATACCATACGAAAATTTTATTTGAACTGGCAAGAGCCATTCTTGTGCGAAAAAAGTTTATCTAATCTAACCACTACTTAAAGTTGTTAATGTGCCGATGTCGAATTTTATTCAAAAATTAAACAAGTAAATGATATGCGCAGTGCGGTTTCATTTGAAACTGTGTTAATGTTAATCCATCGTACTAGTCTGTCCCTTTCCTGTGATCATTTCATTTCTCTCCACGTAGCGTGCATAAACTTGATATGCGGATTTCAAGCTGCTTTCCAGAGCTCCTTGAATCCAGGCGTTGGTAAATGATAGGTTTTCTCCAGCGAAATGTACGTTGCCCATTGGATCCCACAAACACCTGTCAGGTTTTTAAAAAAATACAGTTGTCAGTAATTGTGTCTTGATTTTCCGTATCTTCTTTCAAAAAAATAAATACGTTTTCTAAACTGAGCAAACAGGAAAAAAACATGCCAACACATATTTGACGATAAAAGAAGAGCTGGAGCCATCTGCTGCATGTAAACACAGATTAAGCTAGCTATATAATGTGTACATATATACAAGTTTAATTAACATGTACATGTACAGAGTTTTAGGGAATATGTTGTCGGTGATTAATCAAGATATCATTATTTGTTTAAGAGATCAATGAGTTTATTATTACGAGTTTCACTAAAGAGTAAAAAGTTTATAATTTATTTCGAATAAAGTAAAAATAATCCTCTTTAGCTTTATTGTGTAATATTATTTCATACCTGAGATTATTATATTGAGTGGGCTTGAACATAGCATAGGCACCTTGATAAGAGGGTTGGTTGTTCCAGGCATGGACAATGCACTTTTCCACCGCTCCTTTTTCCTCGATTTCAGGATGGAATTTTGCAACTTGCTCAATAACCTGCTTTTCTGCTTGATCATTGGTCAGGGAACCAAAATGAACTGCTTCATTCTTCCATGTGTAAATCAACATTATTCCTTGCTTGGTGGACTTGAGATATTGCGGATCTGGCTTGATGTAGTATACTTGACCGATTGGTAGGTTGGTCCTGGAAAGGCCGCCTTCGATGCCGTACTTCTTCTTTTCCCAAAATCTAGTCTTGGTTTGCAGTATGATCTTCGTTGAAGGTCCAGTGAAAATGTCTTCAATAGCTTGAATGTTCTTCCTCAGAGCCTCATTCACTTCCTTGTTGGGATTGATTGGTTCAAAGGTAATTTGCCGCAATATGTTCACTTGAGTGGTAACGATTACGGCCTGCATTAAATTTTAAAACAACATTATTAGACTATATCACGTCTGACGTATTGTTTTTCTCTTATGCTACTTTTTTCTCTCCAATTATGATAACGTTGATGATACAAAAAATGGGGGTGGTTTTGAATGATTGCCTAGCATGACGTATATGGTGAAAACATTTCGGCTATATACTCAATGCATTGCGTTTTATTTGAAGCGAAGAGTCGACAAAGCTAATGATATGTCCGGTAAAAATTAAAGAGCAGTGTGGCAGCGCCTTCTAAGTTCTAACAACTTCGCATCAAATGTGGTATTAAAAAAATCTCAAAATTAGATTAGGAGGGATTTCTTCATGACAGTTATGTCGAGTCTCTTAGTTCAATGGTTTTTTTCTATTTTAGCAATTTGTATACCACATTTGATGCGAAACCTAATGATCATTGTAATTTAGTCGACTAACCCGTGCTTTGTATGTACGTTCTTGGTTTTTTCCTGAGGCATAACAGGTTACACTGACATAATCTCTGTCAGGCTGAAGGGGCCTGGAGTAATAAGATATCTTGTAAACTTGTTGGTTCAGTTCTAAATCTGCAGGATCCAACGAGTCCTCTTGTCCTGAACTGAGGAATGCATTCGGTAAACTGTGCATACCACCAACCAAAGTGTGCATATCACGTGTCCACCATTGTCCTAACTCATAGCGAAGATGATGATCCAATGCAACATCCAGTTCTTCTGCGTAAGTGAACACAGAATAACCACGAACTGCATCTTCAGACCACGGTAGAAGGTTTTCAAGCATCTCAAAGTCGAGATGCTCTGATGAATTACTTCCATCGTTTTTCAATCTTGCACGAATAACATCAACACTGCTTCTTAGAAAGCCTTCCAATGTAAACTTACTCCAAATGTTCAGCCATTGTTGCCATACTGCGATTTCGTCCTCAATGTCAACCGCCTCCTTCAACCAGTCAATCAATTGATCGGTAACAACGCCAGTTGTTCTTTTATAATATTCACCTAAACATGAGTTATACAAAGAAAAAAACTGCGCTGAGTAACATAGCTTTTACGAGTCATATGAAAATAGATATAATATTATTTTGTTACAGAAGTGTATAATATAGTGCTGGGGCCGGTTGTATCAAGCCCGTTTAGCTTAAAGTGCCTATATCACTTGTGGGATCTTTACGGATTTAAATAGAGCTTGAAAAATTAGTTTATAAGCTCTACCTCCCTTTTTGATATAGATAAATAGTTTCGGAAATATTTACATCTAAACATGACGATTTGCCTAAATTTCCGTCGTGCTCGGGGGCCTGGGACTCAGGAACGAATTCTAGTCAAACATAATAATCAATTGTAATTCTACTTCGATCTTCCAATAACGTAAAATATTTTGAGAAAAACTCGCCCAGTTTCTACAGCCGTACACAACGCAACGTTCCCGCATTTTTTTTCTTTAAAAGCGCAAAGTATTCGCCAGTGAAACTCTTCATGTTTACATTATAAAAGACGGCGTGTTTGCAAATCATTCCTGAGTCCCAGTCCGGCCCAAACCGACGTATTTTCGAAACTATTTAATTGTATCAAAAAAAGGTTGTAGAACTTATAAACAAATTTTTCAAGCCTTATTCAAATCCGTAAAGATCCCACAAGTGATATAGGCACTTTAAACGGTGGATAAGTCAAAATTAAATAACACTCTTACATCTCTCTTGAATGAGTCAACTTGAATATTATGCACTGAATATGTAATTGTAAACAGTATCTTTGTATTCAGGTTAAAAACATTTAGTTAGCTTGTTGAATAAAACGATAAAATTGCTTTCTATTTTGAGCTTATCCACCGTTTAAGCTAAACGGGCTTGATACAACCGGGCCCTTGTTATTTAAAATGTAATACGTGCATAAGAAATTAAGTTACATTGTTCTAATCAAAGCTTTGTTTAAACCTCTGTTGATTTAATAAGCATAGCTATCAAACGCGTAACAGTTTCTATGACTTGTGCGTTTAAGAATGGGCATTGAACTCGAAGTAAACTGTAGAAGCCATCAGTGGCGTACGATTTTGTCTCGCTATGTAAATTTGGAGCTATTATAATTATTCATGTCTTTAGAAATCTATTGTTTTCACAGTGAGTGAACACCAAAATATTAGCATAGCGGAACAAATCGACAGGCTGGCTACGCTACTGGAAGCCATCCATGACACGAAACATCATTTTTTGTTTGGGTATACTTTTATCACATGGAGCTGCCTATATTGGCAAAGAATTATCCTACACACGAGTATATTCAAAATATACAATTACTTTATTCTCCACGAATCGTTCTCATGCAAGCTGCTCAACGAACCGTTTTCAGACAGAATAAAAACAAACATCAAACGTTTCGTTTGATCTGGTTGCAGGAAAGATCCTTCTAATAGTGTAAGATATTATTACCGATATCTTCAATATCGACGTTCTTAATCCCTTTCTTCCAGTCTGGCCAAACGGTGTTGAAATGTTTCTCTTCCCAGCCTAACAAAAAAGGATCATTAAATGTTTTACGGGTAAGAAAACTGACTCAAAGTCGATTTCCGCCATTGCATGTGCAAAAGGGACATTATACGCCGTATAAATGGTAAAAAAATACCTAGGAGACCTTCACCTAATTCATGACCTAGCGAGAAGAGCGTGTTTGTTTCAATAACAAAAAATTAACATCACGACAAAGACTTTAAAGAGTTACATCTGGAAAATAATCATTTCTGGCCTCATGACCGTGGCAACTGGGGATGAGGATATTTGAAATAACACAATCCCCCCCCGGAACATTAAATTTTGCTCAAAAGTTTATGCTGTCAGTCAAAAAATACCCTACCAAATTCGAGTAATTTCGCCAAATACGAAACGTGTATACGAAACAGGTTTAACCTTTTTTCTGAACATTTGTGTTTAGTTATACGAGCGGTTTGAAATTGCATCACACGGCACCAGCCATCATAGTGGGAAAATGCCACTCAAATGCGCGCCATTCAAATGTTACTAACTTCCTACATCTATGCCATTTGGTTCACATGATTTCTTCAGAACATAGTTATTCATATTTTTCATGCTCTACAAATATGAATGAATAAAATCGAGTTACCAGCATATACACAATGAGGCATATTGTGGAAGTCTGGTAAACAACTTTCCGTATCCCCAATACGATATCCGACATAATTCTACAGTACGCGTAGATGGGAAAAGTGGATATTTTCGTTTTTGAAGTCAATATCACATTTTATTATATACCCAAGCGTTTGATGTGAACTAACGTGCAATCTGATTGGCTAACTGCTAGACAGATAATAGTTCATAGTAGAGATACGCAGACAAAATGGCGACAAGATTTGGGGAATTAAGCGACGATGAAATTCAAGTTTTTCTTGATAGAAGTACACCAAAGTGCACCGAAAGGGCGACCAACTTTTAAAAAAAAGTACTCAACGGTAGGTTAGAAGTTAGAAACTATAGGTTTACAAAATACAGGTTTTTGTTTCTTTTTTTCTGTATGCAAAATGTTCGCAAAAAACACTATACGGGATTTGATAATACATTTTGGCCTCTCGCCAAAACTTTTATATGACAATTAACTGTGAAATCTCGAAAACTACAGTACTGTCCAGAAATAACATAGCAAGAACCGCAGTTAACATAGGTCAAACCTCGGTTTGACAGACCTTTCTTAAGATGTTTTTGATTTGATTATTGTGTTGTCCTTCCAGAAGTTTATAACATTCCGTTCGGAAGCGAACGGCAACCGCGATCGCTTTTCTCCCTTGCGGTCGTCTGCAGTTGCTATCGGTCGACCGCAACCGAACCGCAACAGCAGTGTTAGGTTATTTCTGGACAGTTTTGATGCGAAATTGATAATGCTATATACTATTAGCTCGACTATTTAAATCTTTTATATTACATACCCGTTGTTTTCTCCTTCAATCCGTAAAAAATAGATAGGCCATTTGCATCATAATTTAAAAACTTTTTTGTCGGTATTCCGAACTTTTCAACGTATCCATCCGTAAGAAAATGCGGTCTAACATCCGGTTCATCCAGAGCACCAGGCAATCTCATTGCTCCAGCTGAAATTTAAAGAAAGTTAACAATCGATAAGGCGAGAGCAGTGGCGTACCTAGAAAAAATAATTGGGGGGTTTTATTCATCATGGATTTCTATAGCTGGGTCTCAGTCACGTGATAGGTTTAGCACTTGGTGGTCAACTCCAGATGGAAAAATATTTATAAAATGAAGTAAAATATTTCTTGTAGGTTTTGGCCTAATGTTGAGTAGATGTTATGTGCAATTTAACGAAATTTCCTCACTTTCACAACGCATAATTTGGCAATATGTGTGACGTTGACCACCAAGTGTTTCGCTATGTAGCTATTAGCCTTGAGTGAAACCCACCTATTGTAAGCTATTGCACTCGCAAAAGAAATTCGTCGGGCAGAACTGAATAATTATATTGAGTTATATACGAGCTTGAAGGTCGAGGTAGAAGCTCAGAATATTTCCCCAGGATCTCAAGCAGCCGGCGCGAAGATCGTTTTTGAGACGAAAAGGAATTTTTTTTTCATCCGGAATTGTTAAAATAGTTGATAACAATACTGTTTTTTTTAGTAAAATACTCGATCGGTTACTCTTCAGCAACCGTGACTAGTCTTATAAAACAATCAAACCTTATTCATTTAATTTATCAAAGCTCACTTTTACTGGAATGTAATTGTAATTGTTTCTTCGTTCCGATAGGGGTATAGATTATTTACTTGATCGATCGAACGTAAAAAACAGCTTCGACAATAAATGTCCAAATATCAATGATGGTTTAAAGATCAACATGTAAAAACTAAAGAGGATCTGATCACTTTAAATAATCCGTTTAGCGTTTATCCTACCTTTGTCAACAATAGCTAACCCTTTTACGAAATATTTCCAACGATATTTAGCAACGATTATCGAGCTACAATTCTCGACTTCGTGCAACACAAAACCACGCTTTTCTCTCCTCTCCAAAGCTAATTTATGCGTAATTGATTTATGCAGCATACACTACAGTAATAGACTAATAGTTTATTGTATAAAATAAAAAAGCTAAAAGTTGGGAAATACTTTTTCAGGAAAAAAATTACGGATATCGTAATTTTCCACCATGCAGCTGCCATAGCCAATCAGGAAAGACTATGGGATCATGATGCCTAAGCTTCAACTATCATCATAGAAACATCTGGGGCTGTAGGCTTAAAAAGTTACTTCCATATTTTTAGTGAGAAGGAAAGAATTGTGTAAAACATTTTTACGACCTTGCTGAGAAATGATAAAAATGCCTGAGATTAAAAATGATTAAAAAAAATAAAAAGTATCAGATATTTTAAAAAACTATACCCACAAGTCTTCTTAAGTTTACCTTCGCCATATAATCCGGGTGCTAGACCCCCATTTTTTTCGTCATAACTAAATACTCGACCACCATAGCGATCAGTCTGCTCCAGGATTTTCACTTTCAGCCCTTCTCTCTTCAACTCATACGCTGCGGCCAGGCCAGCCATACCAGCTCCAACAATAATGACGTCATACTTAATATTCCTCGGTGGCATATATTCCTGTACCTCAGATTTTTGACATTTTAGCTGAAATGGGTCAGGTGGCGAGTAGTCATACTTCTCATAAGCCGCTTTCAATCCGTCATTTTGGATTTTGAGCAGGAAATCTTTTAGAATATCACTCTGTTGGATAACAAGGTCTTTTTTCCCTTTTATTCTTTCCCTAAATAGTTTCACGCCTTTTAGGAGGTGAGGATTGTCTAAAAGATATGATGTTGCCATTGTCCTAGAAAATAAGGAGAATTGTTATAGGAAAATTAATTTTATGCGGTGGAGATATGATGGAGTCATACCTCTAATACATTTAAAAACCATTACGGTGTCTCTGAAGCGTACCATGTATTTAACTAGTAGCCAAATTAACTCATTTAAAGATGGTGTAATGTGATCGAATTTCCTTTTTCCCGTGACGAAACGTGCAGCAAAATTTTGAACTTTTTGTAATTTTGCAATACTTTCTTTGACGAATTTGACCATATGGTTGAACAGTAATAGAGCTTGCTAACGATTAAGGCATTTATTACACGAAGTAGCGTTTTCTTATCGAAGATATGCTTTGCTCTGTTAATTTGACATAGGCTTCCTACACGAGAGGAAACCAATTTAGTGATATGCTCGTCGTACTTTAAGTACTTTAACACCTAAATCTGCATGTACAGGTGTAAGTTCCTTCCTCATTATTGAAAAGTGAACATTTGTTGGTATCTGTTTCAACATGTAACGAGTTCCAAACATGAGGAATTTCGTCTTCTCTGGATTGATAAAGAGACTATTTAAGGAACACGAGGTCTCTTTCAAGATCCTGGTTAAGTTTGACAACCACGTGCACAGACTCCAAATGTTGCGTTGAATAGAAAGGCCAAAAAAAGTTTCAAATCAACAACAAATGACCTAATAGAAGATGCTTTTGGTGCCATCGGTAGATCATTTATAATTATATAAATAACATCGATCCAGGAACGTGAATCGAACGCTGTGGAACCCCATGGGTGATTTCACGATCTTCAGAGAGTGGCGATTCAAGACACACAACCTGCTTGCGTTCATTCACATAACTTTTGAACCAAGTTGTTCCTGCGTATTTGATATTCCCAACACATTGAGCTTCTTCAATAGTAACGCATGATCTATACTGTAAAAGGCCTTGGAAAGATCAGGTAAAACTATATCCACGACCTCCTTATCATCTATCTATATAAACTACTGAGCTGAAATAAACTTCGTTGCATGCTGGCAAGGCTAACTTAGATTTTGATATATAACACTAAATAATTATTAATTAACAATGTTATCGGAGATACAAGCTTTGATGTCGCAAGGTACTTTCAAAATTTGTAAAAATATCGACAAAAATTGGCTTTTAAATCAATTCGAAAATACATGTCACCCCATTGAAAAGTTTTTAACTTCAGCGATTTTAACTTTAATTGTAGTCTTTTACGTTTCAAACTTACTCTTGAAAATGAATTCAAGTTGCATTTAATGGAAAAAGGTCCATTTGATATCCCCTGGAATTCGAATTAACTCGTATAGGAAAGAAGCATTGTCGGTTAAATCTGCATTCCAAAGTGCATGCATTCAGGCTCAACGAAATGCTTTTTCTGATGAGTAAATTTGTATTAGTTAATCCTTTTGTAAATAAAAATTCATTATTTTAGTAAGAAAGAAACAATGAACAAGTAAACTAAATTTTAATTTGATGTAATGCTTTATGTTAATTCTGGACATTCTCAAAAATGGCAGTTCAAATTTGAATTTAATTTGCCCCAACAATATCGCTCGGATAGATAAATATGTTTTATATCAAAGTCTACGTTAGTCATTTCTACATGAATGGTGTATTTCTTTTAGTTTCCATGCTTTTATAGTTTTTATGTTTTATAGTTTTTTTATGTTTTGAAGTTTGGGGGGTATTCTGTATTTTTTAATCGGATGATCTTGAAAATATACGACAAAATTGACTATTAAAATTAATTAAAGGAGAATTTAAAAGATTTCTTCGGATTGGAAAACTTTGATTTCAATGAATGGTGAAAAATTATGTGTTTTAAACAAGTAAATGGGCAGATTTTGTATTTTAAAGCATAGACGTAATTTGTAAGTTTGATATGTGGATTTATCAACAAATGTATGACACCTCTGAATTTCGTTAAAAACTCAAAATTTCTAAAAAAAGTTTGATATTTAAAACTATTCGTAGTACAATTATGATTATAGTTGTATTTGATAACTCGCGATAGTCAACTTAATAATTATACTTGATATAGGATTTTACTTCTACGACTTCGATCAAGCATGCATTCAGCAGAGACGAGTACTATAAATTAAATTTCACTGTTGGAATTATACGTTAACTAATTCAGCCAACGGGATTTTACATGCATGTATTTCTAGTATTGGTAATATAAATATAATATAATAAATCCATTTTCACAAATGTCTAGTAGTGAATATAATTGATGGTTTTCGAAAATACTAAATATACTCTGCATTGTGTAAATAACAGTAGTTATATAATTTCGACCTAGAAATACCTGGAAAAGTTTGCTGTCGAATGTCGGATCGCCACTAGATTTGTTTGTTCTGCTTCAAAATTGAAACTGAAGTGTGTTGATCGGTGATATTTTGGAAAGAAAATGGCGTACGATTGAACGCGTTTTTACTAATTGACATTCATTTTTCACGCATTGAGGCTGCGTTCGCATTATCGCCTTAAGTGTAAAAGTTCTCCCCCAAACTGAAGGCATATGCATTGTTATAGAGCAAATTTCAGAACATCGGGATGTATAAAAAGGATTGTTAAATTCATGAATAATTAATAAGCCTAACTTCCAATCATTGCGCAGTATTTTGGTCACATGCATGCATAAATCTTTCCCCATAAAGCTCTTATGAATTAGTAATTCGTATATTAACTTTGATACATTAGTATTCATAACTTTGTTACACACATGCCCTTATGTATGCATTAAGCTTAATCTATTCATTTCAATTAAAACCACGTTATAAAAATACTCGCGGCTGACTTGCATGTATGGGATTTACAATATCCATACAGATCGGCCGCTCGTATCTTAACTAGTACTAAAAGCACTCTGTGAGTGCGTTATCGGGTTTTACAAGCACGTCAGTTCATAAACAAAGAACGGGAAGTTCAATACAGCACGAGGCGGTGCCAAGTAAATGAATAAATACTGTATATTGTGTCTATTTTCCAAAACCCTCATCCCCCCCCCCCGAAGAGATCAGAGAAGACCGGCAGCTCTAAACACGAAAAGCACTAGCTGCATGGTTCGTCGTTCAATTAATTGTTGTAAACTTGCCAAAACGGCAAACCGTACGTAATCAAAGTATAAGGCTTTATAAGATTATAAACATTATAAGGCTTTATAAGATTATAATATTATCACAAACTGATTCAATAATAACAGTAAGATTCCATTAATCATTTCATTAAACATGATTTTAAAATGTACCCGAGGAATCAGTTCATTTTATTCGTAACGGGAAATTCATTATTAATTAATTTTAGCATGGTTATAGTTTGATCCGGTGTACATTGATTTGGTTTTCGTATAGTAATTTTGCTGTCTTCTGACTCTACTAAAACCAGCTGTTGGCAATTACAAGAAGATTTAGGAGATTTATCCATAGATTCATCAACGGTTCAATCGCTAGCTAATGAGTTATGAGTATATCGAAAGGCAAGCATAGCTGAATTCAGACTCTTGGGTTTCTAAGGCGTTTTGTCAAGTTTTTGATAATATTATACCACTTCATGATAATCACTTTTTTTCGATTTAAAGGACCTGTACAATATTTTGTGTTCATCTTCAATAGCGAATAAATTATATAAAAGTGAATTTCGTGAAGCAATATCATTGTTTATATTAATTTTATGCCATGGTGGAAATCCATGCGATAAATATGATAGTAATATTAATTAATCAATGAGATACATGTATACCTGGGAATGCTTGGTGTCGAATCACTAGTAGACTTGTTTGCTCTCCCTCAAGATTGCGATTGAAATGATCGATAAATGATATTTTGGAAAGCGGATGTCGTATGCTTGAACGAGTTTTTTCTAATTAGCTTTTTTTTGTTAATCATCTTTCATCAACTTGGTAGCTTTAAAATCCCCTAGTCAATGCGAAGCATTTTCACAAATGTCTCGTACTGTGTATAATTGATTTTTTTGCATGAAGAGAGTAAATAGGTCCATAAAATAACATGTATATAACGCTTGTTCTGATTGGTCGAAGCCCGTGTTAAGATCAGCCCATCCAAACACGGAAATTTAAAGTTTTAAAGAAGTTAAATTTAAATTCAGGCCTCGTCTTTGTTATTTTGTGAAACAATTACTTAATGGTTTCCGTGGATGGCCTGATCCAAACACGTGGAAATGTTGCAAGAGTTAAGAAAAGCGCACGATTGACACCATTAAGTAATTGTATATATAATTCTCTGCACTGTGTAAATAATAGTAGTTAAAACGTACGTGATGTACCTACAAGCTAATTTACTTACTTAGTATTATAAAAGTAATAGTCTTACGGAGCTTTGTACTTATTGTAGTACTTTGATCCCATGTACATGCATTGATTTGGTTTTCGTATAGTAATTTTGCTCTCTGCTAAAACCATCGGTTGGCTATACAGGAAGATTTCGGAGATTTATTTATTCATAGACTCATCATCAAGGGTTCAATCACCACCACTGATTAAATTATATCGAAAGGCAAGCTCAGCCAAATTGGACTCCTATGTTCTTTAAGGCGTTTTATTAGGCTTATGATAGTGGTATGATACGATATGATAACACTTGTTTTGGATTAAAAGGGCCTGTATGATGTTTGGTGTTCATGCCATTGAGATTCATGCATGCTCTTTAGCGAATATATAAAAGCGAATTTCGTCAAGCAAATATCACTGTTTAATCTATAGTGAAAATCCATGCAATAAATAATTATGTTAGCAATTAATCAAAGAGAAATTAAATGCATATATACCTGGAAATGTTTCCTGTCGAATCACTAGTGGACTTGTTGCAATTGAAGTGGGTCGATCAATGATATTTTGGAGAGCGGATGTCGTATGCTTGAACGAGTTCTTGCTAATTAACATTCAATTATTTTACATACACCCTGTATAGACTCCACGTCGACGTAAAAAAAGATAATTATTATATACCACTTGTCAAAGATTTGTTTTCGTAGCGTTTCATTGCAGGGGCGGATCTAGGGTAAGTCCAGTCAGTCGCGCGACTTACGTATTTTTGGCAGTAAAAATGATAATTAAATATTCAAATTTTCTTGAAATATGAATAATTAACCCCTTCAAGATTGTAATAAGAATTAAAGTCATAGTCCAGTTTAAAGGGTTCAGTTTCAAAAAAGCAATATTCTTTTATTCAGAGCAGCGGTAAAACGCAAAAAACTCGCAGAACCGGGTGGGTCAGCCGGCTCATTTGATTGGTCGATAAGCCATTTGGACTTATCTCGACTGATTTGTGGGGTGGCCGGACTGATTTGAACCTTAAGGGGCCAAATCAGTCCATTTCTTGCATTGCGATTGGTCAGTTTGAATTTACCGGACTTATCTCGACTGATTTGCGGGGTGGCCGGACTGACTTGAACTTTAAACGGGGTTCGATCGCTCTGTCTTCAGAATGATAAAATTACAAAATTTATTATTAAACGAAGCCAGGCTCTCCACTTCTAACATTCTGTTATACAAACGATTACAACTTTATCGTTAGAAAATTATTTTGATACGCGGACATTCGAAGCAGGACTTTTCAAGATAACAGGCTCTTGATAAACTTTATCGTGGAGCAGCGATTTTATGCGAGCAACTGTGTTGATGTTAGACTTCAATAGACGAGGGAATTTGTTAATCACGATATCCTTGCTGAACATGAAAGACTGTGTTGGTAAGAGAAACGTTTAACACGATATAATATAACAAATAAAGCAATATACCTAAAAATATAGTGATTTAGGAGTGTTCCATGCATGTGACAAGTTCGTTCACAGTTATTGATTTCATGCCGCTTTGTTGTGTAACCTGATCAATTATCAATATATAGTTTATATATCATAATCTTCCTAGTAGTTCCTATGCTCATAATATTATGGTTATAAAACTTATCCTGTCGTAAAATGCACTAGAATGGATAAAGCCTACTTACTCAACACTCGCTAGAGTGTTTGAGAATTTGCATTATACTGAAGTTTGCGATGCATATTATAATATTCGCGTCTATTTATAGCATATTATGTTTGTTATGATTAGCATGGTTTTGTAAAGTTCTTGTACGCCTAATGCATCTTACGCGAAGCAATGGAAATATTTCTGTTTGTATTATTTGAGGATATTGTTTAATTTGTGTTAAATCAACTATTGCTATCATAAGGGGATAATATATGAGACTACGAAGTTGCGTGTTTTGAAATATGACCCTCGCCAGCTCTGTTAAGCGGAATCGAGCATGTCTTTCCTGGGCATTGTGATGAACCCTAAAATGAGCCGAAATAATCAAAATTCCGATCTGCCGATTTGAAAAATTTTCTCAAAATTTCCCAATTTGGACTTATGTTTGAAAAATCCTAGATCCGCCCCTGTTTCATTGGTCGAGAGCGATCGAATCACGCGAGAGTGACGAAATTTTGATGTCGCCAGCGCGACCCCCTGCAGAGTGAGATAACGTGTTATCTCATGGGAAATAACAACTTTTATCCATTTGAAATTATCTCTTTTATGAATAGATATTTCGTTGTTTACCTTGTAGTTTGGTTTTTCTTTGACAAGTGGTATATAATAAAACACTTATTTACCGAAAACTCAGAAAACATTATGTTTCCTTCGTTCGCAGTAAATAAGTGTTAATTATTATATACCACTTGGCAAAGTTTTGTTTTCGTATCGTTTCATTGGTCGAGAGCGAATCACGCGAGAGTGACGAAACTTTGATGTCGCCAGCGCGACTCCCTGCAGAGTGAGATAACGTGTTATCTCATGGGAAATAACAACTTTTATCCATTTGAATTTATTTATATATATATATATATATATATATATATATATATATATATATATATATTATATTTATTATATATTTATATATATATATATATATATTATATATATATATATATTATAATATATATATATATATATATATATATATTGCCATTAAGCTTTGATGCGAATGTAGGCTAGTTGAATAGTATATTGCGTCTTTTTTCCAAATCCATCACACCCCGAAGAGATCAGAGAAGACAAGCAGCTCTAAAGACAAAAAAGCACCAGCTGCATGCATTGTTCGTCGGCACGCCTTTGTTTTCCAACTTGTATGAATCGTCTCTCAATTTATTGTGGGAAATTTGTTAAAACGGCAAACAATAATCCAAGTACAGCACTTTATATCACAGCACAGAATCCATTGTAGTATAATTAATTATGACAAACCGATTCATTAATAATATGTTGATTACATGATAATATGCTATGAAGTTTAACTTCTAAACATGGTATTAAAATGTACCCCAACTGTCCCCAAGAATCCGTTGATTTTATTCGTAACGGGAAATTCATTATTGATTTTTGCATGGTGATGCTTTGATCAGATGTAGATTGATTTGGTTTTCGTAGAGTATAATGTTGCTGTCTGCTAAAGCCAGCTGTTGGCTATATAACTTGAAGATTTTATTATTATTATTATTATTATTTCTAAATATTTATACAGAATAAAAACTTATACAATAAAGTACAGTGCGACAACTGTTATCAGCGTTTGTTCTGTATGGTTTAAACGCATGCCCGGAAGACGAAACTGCGACACGAGAGGAGATTTCTTTTTAATTTTACGTATATAATTCTGAAAAAATCACAAATTTACAAAGATTATGTGTTGCACATTCCGATCATATTTTTACGATTGTATGGATTATTATTCCAAAATAAATCGTTCAAATCACAATAAATCAAACTTACTAAACCAAATAAACTAACAAATCTTTTTGCGCAATCAAATAAATATCATTACAGTATCTGAAGGGTGGATCTCCTCCGTTCGAGCTCTTTAAAACGTTTTTTCTGTCTCTGTATAGCAACTCAAATGCTGTCTGGATACTAATTGCATTTTTCAGTGATTTTTAGGTTTTAAATTACACTTGCGCTTTGAATAAATTATAAAGTGACGTCATGCTAATGTAAAATTTTAATATCATACAGTACTTATCCTAAACAACCCTCCGGGGGCGCCGGTAAAGTGCCAGTTCGTTTACTTTGCTTCCATGAGAACACAACACTTCTGAACTGATTGTTTCACCTCGCCGTTCTTCGTCTTTAAGGCTACGTTTCTTACGATCCCATCTTTACCTGGGAAGACTTCGGCAACTCTACCGAGATTCTATTTTCCTCGTGGGACGTTATTCTCTACGATAAGGACTATATCACCCTTTTCGATTTGACGCTTCTTCTTTTGCCATTTCGATCTTCCAACTGCGATCAACTTCGGTATATACTCTAGGATGAATCGTCTTCAGAAGTGATTGGTGATGGTCTGCGTATACTGGGAGCGTTTACGTGAATTCTTCGTATCTTCGTACGGACCATGCGGAATATCTGGTGATGCACGGCCTAACAAAAGGTGGTTCGGGGTTAAAGGGCGTAGATCGTTTGGGTTGTCTGACATGTAGGTCAAAGGTCTGCTGTTGAAGATAGATTTCACTTTTGCAAACCCGGTGACCATTTCGTTCCATGAAAGGATATGCTCACCAACGGTTACCCGCAAAGCACGCTTCGTTACCTTACTAAGGCTTTCGCACATTCCTCCTTGGTGCGGACTTAATGGTTTAATGAACGTCCAATGAATCTTGTGCAAGACTGCAAAGTCTTGCAACCGCTTCTTTCTTTCGATAAAAAGACTTCGAATTTCTCCTTCTACACCGACAAATGAGCCTCCGTTGTCTGAGATTATGGTATCTGGCCAACCATAGTGAGATGCAAAGCGTCTGAGAGCTTGTAAGAAGGCTTCGGCTGATGCGTTCTTTACGACTTCTAGATGGATTCCTCTTGTTGTTGCGCATGCGAAGATGGCTCCCCAAGCTTTGGTCGATTTTTCCTCCCGTACTTGAGCAGGAATGGTCCGAATAGGTCTATTCCGGTGACTGTAAAGGATGGTGACTGTACCTCAAGCCGATCTGGAGGTAGACTTCCCATCAGTGTTGAATGCGGCTGTTGACGTGCCTTTCCTTGAATAAATTATCAAGTGACGTCATGCTAATGCAAAATTTTAATTATATTATAAAGTACTTATAATAAACACTGTAATCTCCTGTTTAGGAGATTTATTCATAGATTTCATCAAGTGTTTGATCGCTATATAGTATAGCTAACTAGGTTACCTGCAAGGTAGGGATTGCTGTGAGCATTTTAGGGTCCAAGTAAATTGTTATATGAAATATTAGTGAACTAAATCCGCTTTAACTAATAGCAATAGCAGGTTTAAAACACGTAAAGTGAATCTCTATTGAGCGTTAACTCGCTGGGGCTGTACATGAATTTATACCTGTTAGGGAGAACACTGGCATTGACGTCATTATAGGTCAATATATGCTATGTAATGTAGTTCGTATGAAAAACATCGTTGTGTAGTTCAACTGTTCAAGTTCTAACTTTTATCTCGAAATTGTTTTGAAATAGGCTGCTGGTTTATATTATGATTTCGCGAGTAAATTTGTCAAGCAAAAAGATATATGTTCAACAAAGTATTTGCTGCCCAAAGGATTTGTAGATTGTAGCAAAAACGAATCGTCTCAAAATAGCCATTTTTCAATGTCATAAATACCAATTTCTACGATGTTGGATAGAGATACAAGTTGCGGCTCGTTTTCAAGTCAAAGTCTTTATAGAAGCAGCTAGTTTTCAAAATATTTTGATATACGAATCACAACAGGAGTATTAAGAATAATAGTAATATTACGCAGAATTTTGCGCGCGTAGCGACATTTTCCACTGCAACAAAGTTGACAGCATTGTACTTTCCAGTTTCCGCGCGGAAAATATTGTTCGGGC